GGGCCGGGAGCCGGGCTGGCCGGACGAGACGGCGTCCAAGTGCGGCGGGCCCTTGCAAGAGGAGCTGAAGTCGGCCAGGCTGCAGATCAACGAGCTGAGCGGGAAGGTGATGAAGCTGCAGTACGAGAACAGGGTCCTGATGTCCAACGTCCAGCGCTACGACCTCGCCTCGCACCTGGGCCTGCGCACGTCCAGCCCCAGGGACAGCGACGCCGACAGCGACGCCGGGAAGAAGGAGAGCGACGGCGAGGAGGGCCGCCCGCCCCAGCCGAGGAGAGAGGGGCCCGTGGGGGGCGAGAGCGACTCGGAAGAAGTCTACGAGAAGACGTCAGGTTTCGGGAGCGGGAAGCCGTCGGAGGCGGGCGAGCTGTGCTCCGCCGAGCTCCTGAGGGTGAAGGAGGACAGCGAGTCTCTGGTGCACATCAAGCGCGAGGCCGAGCGGCTGGAGAGGACGGTGGAGCGCCTCATCACCGACACGGACAGCTTGATTTACGACGCCAAGGTCCACGTCACCGGCGGCCCGGCCGCCGCGAGGGAGCTGGGAAGCGGCGAGGAAAGGGGAGAAGACAAGTCGGAGGGGTAGGCGGGAAGCGGCGAGGAAAGGGGAGAAGACAAGTACGAGCCAGAACTTCTAGACACGGTCAACAGCAGGATGAAAGCTTTCCGCAAGGAGCTGCAGACCTTCCTGGAGAAGGTGGATCACGTCGGAGAAGGCCTTAAGGAGCAGATGGAGGACCTCTCTCCTCTTCCCCATCTCACAGAGTCTTCCAGTTTTCTCTCCACCATGACGTCCATGTCCCGGGACTCTCCCATTGGTAACCTGGGGAAGGAGTTGATCACCGACTTCCAGGTAGGCCAGCCCCTCGTTTGCCTCCTCTCTGTCCTTTCTTTTCCTTTCTGGCATCGCTCCCCTAGAGCTGATTTTCCTCGCAGCTGCTTTGTTATGATTTCAGCCCCGCGACGTGTTAAGAGCGTGTAACGTTAAACAAACTCTTTGTAGGGTCCTTTCTATTTTTATTTCTTCCTTTTATTTGTTTGCACAACTCCTTTGATTCAGAGGCGGTTCCTCGTGGCAAAAAGGCTAATCCACTGGTGCTATAGAGACCTGTCTTCTTATAACAAGCAGTGGGGAAAATAAACAAAACAAAACAAAAAAAAGAGATTAATTAAAAAAAAAAAACAAACACAACTAACGAACTAAATTCTGATGAATGTAAACCAGCAGCCTTGCTAAGAGATGTGAGGAGGTCTTTATTATGCTCTCTCGTAAAAGGGTCAGGCGTGTTCTCAAAAGCCTTGCCAAAAGAACCCAGGCGACTGCGGTTTGCTAAGGGATGTGTTTTGAAAAGCCTGCTCACAGCTCCCTCCCCTAACCGAGCCGAGCGAGAAGCTCAGTAGCCAGCGAAGGACTGCCTTGCCTAAAGCCTTGCCCACGGGCGCATGTCTAAGCTGCCACCACTGCCACACTGGATTATGGCTTTTCTGCACAGCACAAGTAAGGAAGGAAGAGCCTTGTGTCCCGTATCCTTCATGACTTGTATGCTCGCTGTTGGGTTTGACTCATGCATCCTCATTGCATGCGCCTCATAACCGGTGTTTGCATTCTTTTTTCCTCTCTTTTTTCTTCTTTTTTTTGTTTTTTTTTTTTGCTTTTCAGATGTTTCAGCCCGTCATTTTGCTCATCCTCATTTTGGTTTTGTTCTCTTCACTCTCTTACGCCACTGTGTTTAAGTTGGTTTTTCTGTTCACGCTTTTCTTTGTCTTGTAGTTTTTCCGTCGTCTACCTTACCCATTTTTGTTTTCTTTATTCCCTCCTGTCCTTTTTTTTTTTGGTTGTTGTTTTTTTTTTTTGTTACAAACCGCCCATGCACCTAACAGTCCAAACTGAGGGATCACATGGAGTGGCAGCTCAAACAAGATCGTGGAGAGGAGCAAGAGGTTCACCACCAGCGAGCCACCACCGACCCACACCGCAGAGCTGATGGAGACATTAAACTCTACAGGCCAGCAGACAAGGGCTGTTTCAGTCTAGAGGTCAGCACAGCAGCCCATCTTACTCACTCCCTCCTGCTGCCTTAGCCAGGAGATGAGTAACAGGAGCCCGGGGGTTGGGGGAGTAAATTGGACCAAACGCAGCTCCCCTGTTGTGAAATTTGTGGTCGGCCTCTTTTCCCCCCCCTCCCCGTGCAGTTTCAGAGAAGCAAACTGGTCCTGACTTTGGGGTCATCACCCTGCTCCCAGGAGCTTCGCTAAGTGGGGAAATATGGCTCAGGGACCTGCTAGGACTAAGGAAGGACCTCTGGAAGAGGTTGTGGTCCCCGATGGGAGGTCATCCTTTCAGGTTTCACCTTGTTGGCTGTTTTAAATCTGGGAGGTCTACAGACAGAGCTCGTTTCACATTCCTCCTGGCAGTAGCCTGCACAGGAGAGGGTTTGATGCTGGTGTGCATGGTGATTCTCAACAGGGAACACAGCACCCTGCAGCCTCCAAAAAAAAAAAAAGTCTTTCCAGCAGAATTCTCCACTGTTTGGGTTGCTGAGGACTTTTCCATCCATCAGAAACATCAATCAGCTTTTATTTAAATCTCCATCCATGCAGAGGCCACATCCCCCTCCGTAAACATCTCCTTAGCTGCTTTCTCATGAACATAGGTTGTCCAGACACTACAACTGGCCCTGAAGAAAACAATTCCTAATCTGTCTCCAGAAAGGTGAGCTTGGAGCTTTAAAAAAAACAAAAAAAAAACATTTCTGCTGGCCACTGGGAAGCCAAATCCACCTTGAAACTGTGGTGGCTGGAGTAGCTTCTAGTGAGGGATGAGTTTTAATATGTTTTGGATTCTAAAGACACGTGAACCCCCTCAATAAATGTGGGGAAAGAATAATGCTGGCTGGGAGAGGTGGGTTGGTGAGGAAGCAACAACAAGCCCTAGAAAGCCAAGGTAGGAAGAAAGAGCTTCAGGGTGGCTGGGAGCTGAGGAGCACGATGCTGTATTGATCTCAGAGGGAGACTGGCCCTTCATCTTAACACAGGTAATTCTTTGCTGATTTGATTTCCTTTGTTTTAAATTATCCTGGCAGTGCAGAGTTTGGGTAGTATTAGAATCATTCATTTGTTCAGCTGCTTCTCTTCCAACTTTTACCAACCATAATGAACTTCAGGCAGGAGATCTGATAGACCTGGGACACCTGAGAGGTAAAGAATGGTTCCAGGGATGGGGCAGCAACCACCTCTCTGGGCAGCCTGGGCCAGGGGCTCAACACCTTCAGCATCAACAATTTCTTCCTTAGGTCAGAAAACGACCACAGCAAAGGTTTACAATATTTCTGTTAAAATTTTGTCATCTTTATTAATTCCCTCTTAGCTTAGATTCAGCCTCATTGTTTTATTAAGCCCTGGGTAGGTGAGCTCCCTGTTCAGATTGGGAATTTGGGTCATTTTAGCACAACATCAGTTGAAATCTTATAATCTGTTAATAGTCAAACCCACGGGTAGCCAAAGACTCCTGTCTATAATTCTGCATAGTATCCTTTTAGGCCTTTTCTTTTTAAATTCCATACACCACACTAGCAAAACCTTTTTTTTTTTCATGCCAGATGAATGGTCAGAAAAATAGATTATTTATATATCAAAGGGGGTTTTTTTATTACCACAGAAACTTCAGATGCAGACTCAAACCTTTCAGTGCCCACAGCAGAGATGGCTCCACCTAAACTGTTATCTGCTTTAACTTCTGAAGTGAAAATGTGGCACACTGGCCAGGGGATAACACTGATTGTTGGAAGTCCATATCCAGCAAGGAGACCATCAACAAGTTTCATTTCAGTGAGGCAAATATTTTCTTCTTAAGCAAAAAAACCCATTTTTCTAAATTTGTTTTATTTTTTCTCCAAGCTGTATGTTAAAAGAAGATTTTCCCAAGCAGCTTCCATTTAGCCATTTCTCCTCTTTTTCCCAAACAAGCATGGTGGGAGCCTAATTGTTTGATTCAACACAAGAAATGCAGACTGACTTGTGCTTGTAACTACCCCGTAGCCTAACTGTAAACAGCTGCCTGTGTTTGGGCTTTGCACTGCAGTTGTTAGTGCAACAGCATTATTAGAATGTATTTGCATGTTAAAGAGGTGGGTTGGAGTCACAGTCCAAGGGAAATTACATCTTGAAATTGCCTTAAGAGCAGGGCTTTGTTTTCTTGCTGAACAAGCCATTCAGCTGCTGTTGCAGGAGGTTGGAGCCCATGGGGGGTGGATGTTGGATCCATTATTCATGAGCTGAGCAGAGCTGGGTTAGGGTGGGAGGGGGAAATCATTCTTTAGCATCCAAGGAATAAAAAAAAAGTGAGTGAAGGAGTGAGAATTGCCCTGCTGAAAGGCACAGAGGAGCTCAAAAAGGTAGCACCATGTTTCCTGGAGCAGGGTTCAGGGGATTACTATGGCAACAAATGGGAACCAGTGGGAAAAAATGGTAAATCATCTTTTCATCTGGTGAATTCTACCCTTTTTTTTACCAATGGAACATCCATAAACAGAAGGCACCTTCCTTAAGCAGTCTCCTGTTTATTCAGAAACAAGAAAACATTCTGGAGGAGAAACATTTCACTCTTTGAAATAACCAAATAGAGTTTGTTGTAGTGTTTGGTACCTGATGCTCTAAAGTGGAGCTGTGTCTCTGGTTGTTCCTTCAGAGGGTATCAGTTCTGCCCTTACCTGTGTAAGCAGATGCATCACCCCAGGCAGAAGGACTGGTCTCTGCATTTCAGGTTTGGATTATTTTCATACGTGGCTTTTAAAGGCTGGTTTCTGTGTAGAAAAAATGCCCTCAAATCTCTGGTGCTCCCAGGTTATGGAAAAAGAACAACCAAAAACTCACTTAAAAAGGAAAAAGCTGTGGCCAGAGAACTGAAATCAAAGCAGACAGGCTAGAGAAGGGGAAGGAATGTCTTTAAGAGTCTTCTGGAAGGTTTAGGCATGAAGTTGGAAGAGAGACGCTGAAGAATAAATTCTTCTAGGCTGTTCTCAATCTTTTTGTCCATTTTCCTTACTTACCATGCCTGTAAGAACTATAAAACCTAAGTTAATACCTGAGTTAAGCATGGAGCAACCAGAGTGATGTGCAAGTTAGGTAAGTCACTTTCATACCTGCTTTGAATCAAAACTTCTGTATTTTGGATAGAGGAGGAGAATTTCAGTCTATATTTTGATTGTTTTAGGTGGTTTGGGAGCCTCTGTGCTCCTTCTGTGCCATTTCCATAATGCCACGGGAGAGCAAAGGGAACAGTGAAGGTTTTATACAGTCTTTATGACTTTTCTTCTGAAAAAAAAACCCCAAAATGAGGACCACATAGAAAGTTGTATCTCTTAGTGTCCACTATTCCTCCAGTGCAAAGCTGTGGGAAGAAGAAAGCCCAAGAAGGTTTTATACAGTCTTTATGACTTTTCTTCTGAAAAAAAAACCCCAAAATGAGGACCACATAGAAAGTTTTATCTCTTAGTGTCCACTATTCCTCCAGTGCAAAGCTGTGGGAAGAAGAAAGCCCAACTGGTGCTGACACTATCCCTTCCCACCAAGATTAGGGGCAGTGAGAATAATTGACTTTGATGAATTGTATCCTTTCTTGCTATGCAAGATTCCATAAAGGTTGATAATATAATGGCTTAAAAGACCCTTTCTGATGTAAATCTGGATATCCCAGCAGCCCTAACTGAACTGGGCGAGACTTTGTGTGCTGCCCATACAATGAGGTGGATTTTTAAAGGCTTGAATCAGAGGCTCTCCATCTGAGCACAGACAAATAAACCACACAGCTGCCTGTGGTACCCCAGCAAATGGAATATATGGCATTTATTTTTAAGGGGTGAGAAGAGGATGTCTTCAGAAGCAGCCTCAGGATTCTGTCAGATGTGTATTGCCTGTAAAAAGTAATAATACAAAAGGTACTAGAAGTTCCCATCTGGTCTGGTTGATTGTTTGCAGGCAATGGTCAGCCACCCTGTGTCAAAAAAAAATCAATTTTTGGAACTGTGTGGTCAAATGTAAGATGTAATTAAAGCATTCTAATATAGCATTAGGGGAGCAGCATAAAATGTTCATCTTTTGGCTTCCTGGAATCGCACACCAATGCTGGAAGGCATCTTTCCACCCTGCCTCCTCAGGCCTTAATTTGCTCTCCATCCCTTCTGGAGAGGAAAAAAAAAAGACTAAAAAGAGCTATTCTGTGAAATCTGATGTTCACAAGTGCTATTCTGTGAAATTTGATGTTCACAAGTGCTAATCTGTGAAATCTGATGTTCACAAGTGCTAATCTGTGAAATCTGATGTTCACAAGCGCTGCCTCTAAAGCGATTAAGTTTGCAGAATTGAGATTGTAATTAGCTATGGTCAAATGGAGAGCACAGATAAGGCCAACCCAGCCTTGCTTTATGGTGTGTGGCAATCACATACGACTAAGCCATGGCAGAAACGTGGGGTTCTGTGAGCTGGGAAGCAACCCAAAAAGCTGAGAGGGGCAGAAGGGGGGTCGGTGGGGTGAAGGAGCAGCGGTGAAGCCCCCAAAGCATGGATGGCTTCACGTATCCTCTGGAGGTAAAGCCAGCAGGGTGGATTGGCTTGTTCTGGAGTGGCAGCAGGTGAGAGGAGAGGACTCTGTGGAAGGATTTGGCACTGCCTGTCCGAGAGGATGGGGGTGGAGGTGGAGCTGGAAGTGCCACAAGTGGGCTGTGTGGGGAGCTGCCCGTGGTGTGGGGCTGTGAGGAGCAGCCCCGGTGTGGTCCCCGTGACGTCGTGTCTGTGTGTCTTGTTGTAGTGAGGTCGTGTCTGGGTTGGGGGGTTGTGCAGTCTGGGGTGTTTGCTGTCTGTGTTTTCTGTTCCTCCTGTAGCCTGCTCATTAATGAGAACAAAGGAAACAAAGAATGGAAGTCAACAGGTTATTAGATGATTAGATGACAGGGGCCTGATCACCTACAAACATACAGACATCCCTCAGGTACCCGAGCTACATACACAAATATGTCATGATGGAGACAAATATCTCATGATGGAGTTAAATATCTCATGATGGAGTTCTACATCTCCTTCATTCACAATCCAAACATTTAGCAGGAATTTGTATGAGCCACTTAAGCAGCCTTATCTCCTTGGATTTGTTCAGTACAAATCCTGATGCTTCTGGTAGGAAGGACATGTGAAATTATAGGCTATGAAGTGTCTTCAGGTTGCATTGGGAGGAAAAAGGGGTGCAGCTCCACATTCATGCATCATCAGCTGCTTTTCAACACATTTAATTTACTGCTTATCAAAATCTGTCATCCTTAAAGAGACAAAGAAATTGTTAATAAGATTGGCCCTGTGTAGCCTGCATGTAATAGTCTTTATGATGTGTTTAATCTCTTAGTAATTCCAACAGTTATCCTACAATCCCAGTCCCCAATTTTCCTGAAACTTTCCTTTGCAGGGTCTACGTATTTATAGAAAAAATTGCACAAGTTAATTATCTCCTTGCCCTAATTTTGCAGACCTAAGATGTTGCCAGTGTATATGTAATGACATGATTCCAATTCTGAAGCCTGAAGTACAACAAACGATCTTTTAAGAGTCCACCTAAGATGTTGCCAGTGTATATGTAACGACATGATTCCAATTCTGAAGCACAACAAACAATCTTTTAAGAGTCTACTGGTATTGGGAAACACAAGAAAAAACTGAAACTTCACCATCCTGATTATTTTTGCTGCTCTGAATCAGCTTCAGCAACTTGGCCCTCGAGAGAGGTCCCACGACCTGGGTCATGTCCTTGCAGCTGCTGAGGTTGGAGCAAATTCTCTGCTGGATGTCAGCCAGCAGAGAATTTGGGATTACACTTCAAAGCCTGAAGCCATCCCTTCTTTAAATTATCTTTACTCTGGGAAGAAGGAGTTTGGTGCTGTAGTGTTTTCTGTGGTCACAGAGGGGAAGAGGGCAGCCTCTGGCTGAGCATCACCCCTGTACTGACCCATCAGGTCTAGCTCCAGTGTCAGGGACCCAGAGTGAAGGCCACAGAGACACAAAATATTATAAATAACTGATTCTGCCTTCTTGGGTCTTTAGTTTTGAATTAAGTCACTTTTAGAAGTAAAGCAAATGGGATGACAAACGTCATGAGAACATAAAATTGAAAGTAGTAGGAGTCAAAGAGAATCAGGCCTGAAACTAGAGGCACTTTACTTAAGGATTTTGGTCAGATCTCAGGCTCACACACCTTATCAGTGTGATGTTTGTGGAGTAATTTGAGTAGAAATCCCAAAATGAAGTCACTTTGTGCAGAGAGCTGTCCTGTAGCTGAAGAAAGGGACTTCACACGCTTAGCTGGTTGAAAAAATTCTCTCTCCTTAAGTGCCTAGTGAGAAGTATTGAAAATGAGGCAATAATTAGGTTCTGATATCTGTACATCAGAAGCATCTTCTGCGGAGACGTTAAAATTTTATAGCTTTGATTACCCTACAGAAACACAGCACTAAATATGCAATCCTGTAGATGATGCTGTGCTGCCTCAGCCACCCGAGTGTAAACCCAGAGCAGAGGAGGCCTGGAGGGAATATATCCAACGTGTAACTTCAGGAGAAGCCACACAGGACATTCCCACACACATTTAGGGCGTTGCTGTTTCTTTGCACACTGTGCTTTGGTTTTTGACTATTGAGAACCGTGAGTCGTGCAGATGTCTGTCCTGCAGTTCTTTTTTGTCCTTTCTTTTTTTGTAACACCACGGGGACACGTTTTCTGCTACATCTCATCCCTTTGTCCTGCTGATGAGCTCAGGGATTCCCATGTTTTACCTGTGCAGAATGTATCGATACAGGAGCTTCAGGCTCAGCTTGAGCAGGAGACGAGACTTCACCGAGAGGAGCAAGAAAAGTTGACAGAAAGGATCATCCAGGTAAATATGAAACCCACCTCCTGGGAGAGAGGGGTGACCATGACGTGTGGTGTGGACCTTGTTTGGCAGGACCACGGGCACTTCTGTCCACCTGAGGGCTCTGCCTGTTTGACCTCCTGAAGAACCTGAAAGTTGTGGAGGTGGAAACTCAAGGTTATTTTGCCACTTTTGAAGCTTCTCTGCTTGGTGGAGAGAAGTTTTGTCCTCCCCCTGCATGGGGGATGTCAAGGCAGAGATGTGGAATGCTGCACGGGGCATTACATCATCTCTCCATGAGCTGGGGAAGGTTTGGTCTCTGGGAGCACAGCTTGGCTCTGTGCCTTGGTCTGACCCCTCCTAGCCCCAAGAAAATCCAGCACTTCTCTGAAGTCAGAGGATTTGTCCCACACTCACAACTGAGACACAAATCAGGACTTTTTAGTTGTATTTCTCAGTACCACACTCTTCCAACCTTCTTATTCATAACTGGTGAATAAATCAAGTTTTGTTAGAGGGGTTCCCCCTGCTCTTTGGAGGGCTGGAACAGATTAGTCAATGATTTTGTGATCTCTAACTCCTAGGGCAAAAAAAAAATCTGTTGCTAATGCTTGCAGGCTGTTTGGCTCTCAGCTGAAGTTTTCTTTTCAAATCTACTTCATAGACTAAATTCAGCATTAAGTGTTACACAGTGTAAAGCATTTCCCCTTGTGCCAGCTAATCTCCTTCTGCCCAAGTGGTGTATCTCCAGTTTTTCATAAGTAGCTTTAATTTCTAGTTGATCTCAACAGGAGCTTTCTCAGGGAGGCTTTTGAAGGCAACCAGTAAATTGATTTCCTTGGCTATGAAAGCTTTTTGGAAGCTATGCCTGCCTCTTAAATTTCTTCTCTTTTGCAATAGCTCTCTGCTGAAAGAGCCTCACACTCTATGAAACTACCTCCACCAAGGTCTTCTGCAAGAATTTCTGACCATGGGGACTTTTAGATCCTAACAGCTTGTAAAAACAATGAAAAACACAGCAAAATTAAAGCTAGCTCTTCATGTTGACAGCCAGTAGAAACAGAAGGATTAAAGCATCTTCTGGCTTCTTCATTTTTTCCAAATTATGCCTGTCCTGTTGATACTGTTCCTTTTTTATCATCCACCAGGATTTCTGGTGGAAATGACTCAGATCTTTGCCCTATTTAACCATGACTTCGTTTGGTGGAAGAACTGCAGCAACAAAATAATCTATTGATTTCACCCCATCAAAATTAAATTTAAAAATTTAAATTTAAAATCTCTTTTTTACTATTAAATTTTTAGCAATGTTTAATGGCCTCCAAGTGCAATGTGCTAGCACTGTACGATCTCCATGAGCATTCTTAGGAGCTGCATGTATGGTTTGGGGACCATTATAGCTTGTTTTGTTCCAGACTGCTCTTAAGCTGCATTTTAAACTCAAATTTAAGCTAGCAACTACTGTAAATCATTTTCATTTCTCAAGGCATAGATGCTGAAAAGGTGCATTATGCTAAAGCACATCATTTAAAGGGCAGGATGGTCCTTAGTAAACCATCTAATATGGACCATTAGCTTGTGTCAGAAGCATCTGAATGTGCCCATAAAAATGAAACACACATTTCTAAGCAGTATTAATTGCTGATTAATTGGGGTCTGTGCTCCTGAAGAAGAATCTCTGAAGCATTCTTCACTCGTGTGTGAATGTTGTTTGTTGCAGGGTGTGTTCTTATGGTTCAGATCGTTGTGGTCCTTAGGTTTTGGTGGCTTTCATAGAGGTCATCTATGGAGCTGGTCAGCAAAGGGAGAGGCTGTTGTTCTGCAGCATGGAAAATGGTAGGAACATCTGTAAGCTGTGGCTCTGTGCTCATTTTCCATCTGCCTTTTCTTGGTGGAGGTGAAGCACAGCTTGGCTGAAGTGGAAACACTTATCCCTGCAGAACAGGAGATACTCTACAACGAGCTTGTACAGGTGCTGTTGGGCACAGGCCATGCCATGGTTTGGGTTTGACACGTTGAGGGAGAAGTCCTGTTTAAAGAACAACGTTTTGAGGTGATTCTGTGTTGAAACAGATGGAATTCTACGTGTGCTCCAAGGATTGAGCTTTTCTTGGTGCTTCTAGTACTGAAACTGAGAGAAGTTGAATGCTGAGTTGTAGCTCCTGAATGTGTCCCTGGTGTGGTTATATCAGAATGAGAAACTGTTTACTCTGAGTCCTTCAGATGCTTCCAAGCATGAGCTGTGAGAAGGAAGGGACCAGTAGTTGTGTCTGAGATACTGGATGTGGTTCCTTCAGAAGTGTTGCCCTTCTAGAACATCCTCTGCTTCTAGAATATAGACATATGCCCTTCTAGAACATCCTCTGCTTCTAGAACTTAGACATATGCCCTTCTAGAAGCATCCTCTGCTTCTAGAGCCTAGACATATGCCCTTCTAGAACATCCTCTGCTTCTAGACATAGCCACAGAGGAAAGGATGAGTCTGTGGCTGGGGAGAGAAGAGGCAAGGATGATATTCCAGGTGCTCTGAAGGGCAACTGTGGTCCCACCTTGTAGGAACAGCAGCAAATGCATTTAGCAGGTGTGATACATGCAGCAGTGGGTGGTGGTGGCCGTGGTGGGGACACCATGAGGGGATACAATCCAGAGAGGGAGGAAAATGGGAGTGTTCTGAGAAGTTTAAGCAGCAGTGGAGGTCTCGTGCATCTTTAAACGTCCACTTCCACAGCAGGTTCCTTGGATATGGGCATCTAAGCCAAGCTTCTTGGGCTGCTGCCCTCTGATTTCCTCAACAGCCAGAACCTGCTGAGGAACTTCCTGAGCCCAACTCAACAGCTCCTCACTATTGATGAAAATTAGAAGCTTTTGGGTTGGCTCACCCAACCAAACACAAGTCCTGAAGACCGCCCCAGGTCACCACCCCATTAACATGGTGTCTGTCATTCCCTTCAAGCTGGAGGAGGAGCACATGCAGACCCTGAGGAGGAAAGACTTGGAAGTGCAGAGCTTGACTTTGCAGAACAAACTGGAGGAGAAGACCTGGAGCCAGGAGAAAAGGTTGCTGCAGCAAGAACTGAGGCACTTCAAGCAGGACACCTTCCTCCTGTATGTCAAACTGAAGTGGCTGCTGAAACACTGGCGGCAAGGCAAGAGGATGGAGGAGGAAGGGGAGGACATGTTAGAGGTAACCATCCCACCTTCTTAACCCAGGGAAGTTGCAAGCAAGGGGGTGCTGGGGAGTCCCACCTGTAATTTTTAGACTTTAAAGATGAGGCAACATCAGCAACTTTATAGTTGCACAGGTTTAAAGAGGAGTCAAGTTCATCATGAAACTTTTTCCTCACGTTGGCTTGTGCTAAAATATATTCTGTGAGATGTTGCAGATCACCCATCTTCAAAACCTTAACTAGTCCAAACATCAGGTCCTGAAAAACTCTCTGATCAGAACCTGAAAATGTGGTGAGGTCTCAAAGCTCTGACTCCTGAATAATTTTTTGGATTGAAAAATAATGTTCGGGAGCTGACGGGGTCCAAGCTGTGCCGGTGGGTGGAGTGCTGGCGTTCTGCTCCTCGTGGGCACAGCGTGTTCCTCACAAAGCCAGCAGCAATACAGATGGAGGCAAGCTCTGTCTTTGGGTTGGCAGGAGAATTACACAGCTCCTTGTGGGAATTTACAGTGAATCATTCTTGTTTGTTCCTCTTCTCCACGCCACACGTCTGTCGCCGGCAGCGCGGTGAGTTTCCAAGCAGGGGCTAAATTAAGCTCAGGAGTTGCAGAAGTCCAGAAGGAGCTGGAATCCCTGAGCTGACACATCTCAGCAGGGGTGAGACATGCACCGTGGAGAAAGGTGCTGCTGTGTTGTGCCCAGTTGCACATCCAGAGTTACCCTTGGCTTTGGAAATCTTTCCTCAAGGAAAACAAAAAGATTGAAAGAGTGATTGCCCATTCTGATGTTTTTATACAAAATTCTGGAGAATAATAGATTTATTTTGCAGGTTCATGCCATTCTGAATCCATTTGCTAAGGTAACTAAGTAGTTTTCCTCAGTGTTTGTGATCCTTGTGCTTTTCAGTGTGTGCTGCACTTGGCAGCAGGAGTAACCTGTCAGGTCTGGTGGGACTGTGCTTGAATTGAATACTCCAGTGTTTTGGGTTTGTAGAGAAAGGGTGGAGGAACATCTTTATCTTCTCTGTCAGAAATGAGATGAGGAGCTAGTTAGAAATCATTTGTTTCTACTTGAATTCAGCAGCACTAATTTGCTCCTATGTAAAGCAGCTCATCCAATATCAAAACAACTTTCATTTCTTCACTGTTTGGGTTTTTCGACTGGTTAATTCATAATTGATCCTCCTCCAGTTGTTATCAGAGCCACGTGTTTTGTAATGCATTAGAGAGAGTAAAGTGCTACATTTGGGTGCTTCCTGATGTCCAGCTCCTCATCAGACAGCACACCAGTGTCTTGTACAGCTTTTCATTCACGTGTGGTGGGTGGTATCCATCCTGCTGCACTCAGCCCATCTTCTGAGCTGCACAGACCTCCTGTTTTGCAGGTCTGCATGGTGGTGTGCTCACACATGCAACACCTTGACCATCTATCACCTGTCAGGACCCTTCCCTGAGCCCTTCAACCCCCCGAGATGAGTGGCAGAAGGGTGCTGATGTGTGTCCCACCTCTTGCCTTTTAGATGGAGCCCCCCGAGGCCCTCCCAGACTTTGGCCTTCAGCCTGAGCAGAAGGGAGATGAGGCAGAGCGTGAGGAGGAGGAAGAGGATGTGGTGTTTGCACTGACAGATTTCTCCCAGCATCCCACCACGGAGAGCACTGACCATGGACCCCCTCTGCAGACAGCAGAGTTGCTGCAGCAGCAGAAGCAGGTAGGCTACCAGCTCCAATAGCATGCCCTGGGAATGGAAAGTGGCTTTTCCAAGGGAATTCATTGTCTCCTGCTGCTGTTACATCACCTAGAACCACACTTGTAAAACTACTTCTAGCTACACTGCAATTACAGTGGATTTCATCCATGATATTTATATTTAATCAGGAGCCACGTGGTTGCTGCTCTCCCTTTGGCAGATGCTAGCAGGGAAAAATCCTATTTCCTCTTGTGGCTGTTTGCCCAGAAACATCTATCAGTGTGTGATGGTTTGCAGAATTTACATGCTCCCCTTGCCTGAGCACATCTATTGTATTCTGCTGTCAAGCTTTGAGCAAGAAAAGGTGATTTTATTTCCTTTAAATAATTTAAGAAACCAGCACATGTATTTAATGTTTCCCTTAGAGATGGTGGGGAAACAATGCCAAAGTTCCTTCCTGTCCCTGGGCTTGTTTTTAAATGCCTCAAAGCAAATCATGCTGATTTTTCCCTGACATCTCCTGTGCCCTGCCTGGGTGTGTCAGAGCACTGCTGTATATAGCCCAGATTTTTCCTTGGTGCATTTAATGTACCACAAGTCCTACCAATAACAACAGCAAACACTCAAAGAGGACAGAATTCAGGCTTCTAAGTTCTTCAGGAGCATCTTCTTCTGGTTTTCAAATGGAAAACTTTCCATGTCCAGCTGAGAGCATCCTGTTATGTGGAATTATTTCCAACAACTTCCCTCTCTGGCTATTATTTACTGTGATTTGTGCTACCAAGGTAGTTTTGTTTGATCAGTTTGGCACTTGGCAAGTTTCTACCTTGCTAGTCCCCCAGACCCATCCCTGTCATCCTCTCAGCAAGCTTCAGGCTCTGGTGGAGCCATGGCAGCCGTGGAGGAGATGCTCCTGAGCACATCATTTAACTGCATTCCACCCCTGGGGTGGTTTCATCTAAAATGAGTAAAAGAGAATCATAGCATCATAGGATCATTCTGGCTGGAAAAGACCTTTAAGATCATCAAGTTCAACAGTTAACCCAGCACTGCCAGGTCCCCACTGCCCCGTGTCCCTCACACCACATCTCCACTGCTTGGAAACCCCTCCAGGGGTGGGGACTCCACCACTGCCCTGGGCAGCCTGGCACAGCCCTGGACAACCCTTTTGTGGAAGAAATTGTTCCTCATGTCCAACCTAAACCTCCCTTGGCACAACTTGAGGCCATTTCCTCTTGTCCTATCACTTGTTCCTTGGCAGAAGAGACCGACCCCCACCTCTCTCCAACCTCCCTTCATGCAGTTGTAAAGAACAATAAAGTCTCCCCTGAAATAAGCATAAACCAACCTACTATCATCTCAGTACAAACTCTGTGCTGTGCTAATTTTCCACACAGATCCCTTCAAATGACCAAGAACATCCAAATAAATGATATCCTCTTTGAAATAATCACTGCTTGGACATTCATCTCAGTGGAGGTGGCAGACAGGGGAAGTAGGATTGCTTGTGATTCATTTTTATATACATTTCATGAGGTTCTGATGCAGCAGTTCCAGCTCATCTTGCTTAGAGAAATGATCCACAGGAACTGGCCACACTTAGTTCCCCTCTTGATAGTGAATGGTGCATGATATCTAAATGGACTTGGGCCCTTTTTGCACTCCTGATGTGATAGGAAGAGGGGTAATGAGTTCAAACTGGAAGAGGAGAGATTTAGATCAGATGTAAGAAGGATATTTTTCACTCTGAGGGTGGTGAGCCACTGGCCCAGGTTGCCCAGAGAAGCTGTGGATGAACACTGGAGGTGTTCAAGACCAGGTTGAATGGGATCTTGTTCAACCTGCTCTAGTGGGAGGTGTCCCTGCCCATGGGAGGAAGGTTGGAACTAGATCATCTTCCAGCTCCCTTCCAACCCAAACCATTCCATGATTCTGCAGGTTCCTTGAGCCCACAGCAGGCAAAAAGCTCTGTTTATATGGAGAATTTGGGGGGAGTGGTGAAGTCTCCAAGGTTTGTGCCTGCCAAGGAGAGCCCTAAGTTGTTAATTCTGCCTGGCAAGCTCCAAGGTGAAAAGCCTCAGCTCTTGTTTCACATTAGGAAGGAAATTTTTTGATGGTCTGGGAGTGGCTTAGATAACTAGGGCAGAGAAAAGAAAGGCCTTACAGTAACTTGAAGTAACCCATATTTATTTTTAACATTTAATGTTAATATTTAATGGCTTGTGTCTTCAGCCTGCACTCTTGCTGCTGACTTTCTCACCCTGCCTGGAAAGTGGAATTGTTTTGAGAGAAATGATAAACCTTGAGGCCTTAATTTCAACAAGCAGCCTTTAGTTTTATGTTGCTATGGTTTGAGGTGCTGGACTGGGTGGGAGGCACATGTCTCACTCATCTGGGGTTTTTATGTGGCCAGTGTGGGGAGGGATGAAAGCAGAGGGGAAGGGGAAGAAAGGACCTTAGGTGATGAGAAGCAGAGTAACTCTGAGAAGGGCCAATTCATCTTCTTTCAAGGGCCAATTCAAGGGGTGAGATGCCTGTTGGATGGTGTAAGATCAAGGGGGTAAGAAGAAAAGTATTGACACATCTCTAGCCCAAAGGAAGAGGCATTAAACACCAGTACACTTGTGTTGCTGCTGGGCAAGTTGTCAAGAAAACTCCCAATTAAATCTTTCTTTTTTCCCCAGAAAATATTTGTTTTCAAAGCTTAGCTAAGAGAAAGGCCCAAAGGAATAGTAAATAAGACCTAATTATACTGAAATGATTCACACCAAGATCCAGCTTCACTTTGGTCTCCATCTGGGATTAGAGAGAGAAAATGCCCAGTTCTCATGCACCATTTAGGCTCCTGAGCCTGTGTTTGGGACTGCTCTGCAAAACTGCTGTAAGACCAGACTGGCCAAATTCTTCAGTGAAATCCTCAGATTAAAAAAAGAATTGTGTTTAAAAGTAGAACCAAGCTTCAAACAATTGCTCTGCTCCCAAACTTTCCTAAGAGCTGGAGGCTCCCATCTCTGGGGTTGACTCAGTAAAGACCTCAGAGTTCTGGAATTTAATTGAGGTTTACTACATGAAGTTTTTACTTGTTGTCAGCTGTTTTTTACCTATAAATGCAGAGCTGTGGAGACAACAAGACTTTGAGCTGCTTTAGTAATTCTCTCCTCATAGATCAGTTGTGACTCCATGGTTAGATTCCTCCATGCTCTGTGGTAACTGGTAAGGTCCTAAAGAGCCAGCTCCTTCCATGGGATCCACTTGGGATCCCAAGGAATCACAACCATGCTTCTTCTGCCTGTACAACATCCCTGAAAGGACAGGGAAGAGCATAACAATCCTTGTTGTGTGTCTGTGGGATTCATGCAGAAGCTGTTTGGCAATCTAGATGTCCATGTCCTTTTTCAGAGCATGTTGTCTCCAAAGCTCTTGGTTCTCCAAAACCACTCCAGTTCAGCAAAACAGAGAAAAAAAACCTCACAGATCTCTCCAACTTCAGCCTGTAAATACAAAGTCAGGCAGAAGAGATTCTCTGCAGGAATTAGAAGGACCTAACCAAAATTGGGTTTCTATTGGCAAGTTAATTAAAATCCCAGCAAGCCCAGGAGGTACCTGGGTTCCTTCTCTCCTAACAACACTGATGTCATGTTTCTGGAAATAAGGCATGTTCCTCATCCCAGTAGGCTACAAACCTGGGGTGAGGCTTTTTTTGGCTCCTCTCTGTCCTAGCCCATCACATCTTTCTGGGCAAACCTCATTTTTTGGAGGACTCTAAAGCTTTAATCAAATAGATGCATAGAAATGAGGGACGTAGCTGGAGTTAGAGTTATTTGGGGTTATTTTTCTTCCCAGAAAACACAGAACTTGTCTCTTGAATGACAGCACTTCAAAGGCATTTGGGGGTCAGGCTTTTCAAAGAGGATGAGGCCAAATTTTGATGCGTTCAGTACCCAACAGCTCCTCCTGTGACACCAAGGACAAATCTTCAAAAGATCTCCTCTGATTACTACACAAGGGGGTTGAGATGTTTGGAGAATTTAGCCTTAATTGGATATCAGAATGAAAATTCATGGTGGAAAACATCAAATCTCATTACATATTGAAAAGTGGGGGATCTTCTATGCACCATGGAGGCTGCTGCTGTAGAGTAGGAAACTGCTAATTGGTTTGAAATGTTAATAGGATTAATTCTGCTTCTGTGGGTGCATTTCTTTGTAAAAGCCCATGTTGTACACCGTGGCATTTCATCAGCCCAAGCAGATGACAGGTCAGTCAAGGAGCACCTGCAGCCCTTTCCCTGCATCAAGCAGAGTTTTGCTGATGAATCAAATGGGTTGGAAAAAGTAGACCACGTTTGTTTGTGTTTTGGGGTTTTTTTTTTCTTTTAAAGAAAAAAGGCACTGTGGTATGTCTGATTAGAGATTACAAAAGTGGGTGAGGCGGGTTCAACAATGCCAAAAATCTGATGAGCCCATGAAAACAGCATAAAAATTGATGTGTGTTTTCATTGAGAAATTAAAGCACGTGGAAATTCATTCCATTTTTACATACACCCATTTATTTGTCTTGTCTACGAAGTCCCCACACTGAGACTTCACTAAAGAGCAGGTTAAGAGGCATGGCAGGAAGCCTCCACTTGGGAAGATGAATAAAAAATAATATCAATTAGACCATCATGCAGGAATTGAGGCAGCTAATTGGAGTTCAGCCTTCCCAAGGAAGCTAATGCCTTCGTGAGAGCTGAGTGATTAAAGGCTGAATTTGTTGAGTAAGCTTTCTCCTTTTCCTGCTCATGCTGGGTCTGCTAATCAAGTCTAATTTCCTTAAAAGTCTTTTCTCTTCAGAATAAGTAGTCAGACACAGTCTCTGGCCACTCCTTGGTCTTTGAGAGGCTCGTTGGGGATATTTGAGAGAGGTTTGGGATAAATAGGTCATGTTAGACATTTTTTCTCTTCTAATTCAATGAGTTCCAAAATCAGTGGGATACCTTTGGTTTTACTGATCCAGAATGAGTCTTCCAAAGCCATTTTTCAGTATCTAAGATAAAAATGACAGGTTTTGCAAGCCTCTGGAGATTTTGCTGTAAGTAAATGCCAAAACTAATTTAAAAAAAAAACAGATAATTAGAGATTTGAGTAAGTCTGGGTGCTGTCTTTCAATACCTGCCAAGATCAGGTGTCACCTCTGGGCCAGGCTTTTAAGTTAATGCCATTCTTGGCTCCTGGCTATCAGAAGAGCACAGACAACATAAGTAATTTTACTTGATGATACAAAAGCATTGAAAATGAATCCCTTTTCTTTATAGGTAGTCTATCAATATTTGAGGTTTGATGCTGAGCAACGACTGGGTGTGTGTGAGACATCCAGCTACCCAACAAACCTCAGGAATGATGCTCCAGCTTTGGTTTACAGTGTTCAAAAAGAAGCTATTACAGATGTCCTCCATGCAGAAAGATGTTTAGTGCCTTTTTCAGGGTGATTTAAGTATCTTTGGCTTTCATGGGTGCTTCAGGACTTCAGCTAATAGGAAGTAGAATCACAGAATTGCAGTATTGTAGAACTTTTTAGGTGGGAAAAGGCCTTTAAAGATCATCAGGTCTTTAAGATCAGCCTAACACTGACAAGTCCACTGTTAAACCATGTCCCTAACCATCACATCTATACATCTTTTAAATATCTCCAGGGGTGGGGACTCCACCACTGCCCTGAGCAGCCTGGGCCAGGCCTGGACAACCCTTTGAAGGAAGAAATTTTTCCTAATGTTCAACTTAAACCTCCATTGGAACAACTTGAGGCCATTTCCTCTTGTACTCTTGCTTGTTCCTTGAAAGAAGAGACCAACAATCTGTCTACAACATCCTTTCAGGGATTTGTAGAGAGCCAGAAGGTCTCCCCTGAGCCTCCTTTTCTCCAGACTAAACAACCCCCAGGTCCCTCAGCTTCTCCTCACCAGACTTGTGCTCTAGGCCCTTCACTGGCATCCTTGCTCTTCTTTGGACAATTCTTTGAGTGTCTCTAGGGATGGTGACTCAACCTCTTCCCTGGGCAGCCTGTGGATGGAGAAGACATCTCTGTTCTTAGTTTCCTCACGCAAAACTTAGCCCAGACACTTCCTCTTCCCCACAGTGAACGTGCTGGTGGTTTTCCTCCTAAAAACAAAGCTGGAGGTTGAAGCCATCCAACGAGAGCAGTTCTTTTGCTTCCTTCTGGCAGGCAAGTGAGAATCGGAAGCTCCTGAAGGCCCTGAAGGGTTTGCTGGATGACTTCCACTCCGAGCTGCGGGAGGAGGAGCGGGAGCGCCAGGGGCTCCAGCAGCAGTACGCCCTGCACAAGGCAGCCTGGGAGGTGGAGATGGCTGAGCTCAAGTGTCACCTCCAACAGGTAACGTCCCCACACGTCCAGCACTGCCTGAGGTGGTTAATGAAATGGGAAACGTGGCACAGACAGGAAAGGGATTATGTTTATCCCAGGGAAAATATGTATTTTACCCTGAAAGGTCCCCTGGAGCCTGAGTTTTGTCTCTTGAGGTGCCTTTTGGATTCCAGTTGTCCCAGTACAACTGCTCAGGTAGGAGGTGCCTTGTCATGAAGGTGAGAATAAAGGAACTGAACCTGTTCTTGCTGTGTTTTCTCAGAAGAGTTGGCTGGAAATGCACCAGTGCAGTACTGAGCCATGCAGGTGTCTGTGTTTATTGGCATTTATAGGAGAAGAAGTGTCTTGGTCACAGGATCATAGAGTGACCTCTGGGGAGGCCGTTGCAGAGACCAGTAAGCTTCACTCCTGACTCCAATGTGAACGTCCCTTTGCTCAGGCAGTTTGGGCTCATTTTCCACCAGGGGATGATGAAGGTGTGGTCTCCAGCAGTCCTGCTGCCTGTCCTTTCTGAGGGCAATTTTAACTTCAGAGGCAGAGATGAGTTTTTGCTGCTTTTCACTCCACCTGCAGAGCCAAGGGATGGAGGTGGATCCCATTTCCCAAAGTCCTGCACAGTTCAATCTGATCTCAGAGCCAACCCTGCTAGAAGCAGGGGGGTGACTGGAGACCTCCTGACACCCCACTGAGCCTGCATTTTCCTAGGAAACTATTACCTTGGGCCAGCTCTTCTGGTCTGGTGGAGCTGAACCCTGAGCATGAAGTGAAGGAGAAAGGAGGGGAGGTAATATCAGCTAGCTGCCCCAGAATTCACTTCAGACAGCAGAACCTGCAGAGATGGGGGGAAGATCTGCTGCTGCTAACACCCTCTTTTGCTGGAAGGTGTGTGGAGCTGGACAATAAGACCATTTTTGAGGGTTGTTCTGGGAAGAGTCTCTTCAGAAGATGAATGATCACTCTTGAGGTTTCGGGTGCACGGAGTAAGACCACAAAAGCAGAGCAGTGGCTGAGGACATTGTCCTGGGGATGGTCTCAAGAGATGATGATGAGATTGAAGCATATCTCCATGTGTCTTTCATTGCTGGTACCCACACTCCCATCAGGAAGATCACAACTGATGCCTTAAGAGCACGAGCTGGTAGAGCTTGAGAAATGATTCATTATGAATTATATATTATTCACTGTCTTGATTTTAAACCTTTTTTTTTTTCCCAGTTGAACATATTTGGTCATTTATTGAGATCCTAAGATTAAGGCTTGCCATAATTTTGCCATTCCCTCCGTGGAGTCAGGTCTTTAACTCACATTTGGTGTCAAGCACAAGAAGTTTTAATGTCCTGGTAACGATTTGTTTTAACGGCAGCTGGAAGGGAAGAGTGAGAACACCTCGGGAGAGACAGGCCTCACTTCTGATGCCAATAAGAGAGGAGCACAAGAAGCTTCTGGCTGAGAGTCACGGAGTGGTGATGGACCTGCGTTGGCAGATCCAGCACCATGAGAAGAACTGGAACCGGGAGAAGGTGGAACTCCTGGAGAGGCTGGACAGAGAGCGGCGAGAGTGGGAGCGCCAGAAGAAGGAGCTGCTCAGGAGGCTGGAGCAGGTGAGGACTCACCTTGCTGGCTGCAGGCATCAGGCATTGCTAGGAGTAGCTTGATTTGGTTGGAGATGTCCCTGTTTATGGTGGGGGGGTTGGACTAGATGACCTTTGGAGGTCCCATCCAGCCCAGACATTTTAGGATTCCACGATCACTATGCTCAGGCCAAGGTCAAGAGCACCAGCACGAGAACAAACTTTGGTTCCTTGGCTACATCAGCGTTTCTCATGCTACAAAACTATTTACAGACACAAGGGACTGCAAGGAAAATGCTGATGATCCCTTTGAAAGACCACTTAGGAGTAATCAACTCCAGGTTAAAGGCCATTTCCTGCCTGGTCTCAGTTCCCCCGGGCAGTCATGGTCCCATCGATTCCTTCTGCCTGAAAGCTTTTGTGCATCTCCTAGTGCTTAAAACACTCAGTCCCACACACAGGGTTATCCAAGGTTTGATTTACAGCTTCCTGCCAAAAAAATTCCATTCATTAGCCCCCAAAAATGTAACTGCTGTGACTGCTCAGTCTCTGCTGAATTATTTTTTCCCTAGCAAAGGAACATGGGGAGCTCTGACCAGTAACAACCAACCATCAATACTAAATATTCAGCACACACCTCTGACCTTGGTTACATGGATTTTGTCCACACCTCTGCCATCATTTGCAGATAACTGCCCCTTTGGTTTCCATGCCTAGCCAGACTTTCCTCTGCTAAGCATCAGAGCCAAATTAAACCTAATGAATTTATTATCCAGCTGGAAGCCACTCGAAAAATGAAATGTTAATATAAGATGTTTTTACTGAATATTGTTCAGCTCTGAGTCATGCATTACAGGAAAAAATAAGAAAACCCAACTGAAATTGTGGATCCTCAATTAACTGAATACTTCCTGTCCTTAAAACATGAGGAATGGAATTGCACCAGATTTGTGCCTGCTCTCTAGGGAACAGTGTGTTTGAGTGAAGCACCAAGGAGCTTCACAGGTTAAACTGGAGTCATAGAATGTTTTGGGTTGGAAGGGACCTTTCAAGCCCATCTAGTCCAACCTCACCACTGAAGGTGTGGCTCTGAGTGGGCAGTGACCAATAGGAAGGTTTTACAGGCCAAGAAAGGTGCTTTTTGAGCTTCTACATTTAAAAATATCAGTAAATAATATCCTGCATTTTTTAATCTCTCGTTTCTCTGAAGGGTTTTGTGTATTCTTCATGCAAGTTGTGGAGCTAGCCCTTAGAATGCAGCCCAACAGTACATCTCACCAGAGAAAACCACCAACACCTATGAGCTAGGAAGGCTTGTGGCAGAGATCTTCACCCAAATCACCTGGTTTCCATGGGTTTAGTGGTAGATGGTGCCAAGTTCTTCACAATTTGAGTAGTATTTTAAAATATTCTCTCTTCCTTGTACCTGTGGGACCTAACCTGGTTAAAACTGCTTTTTTTTCTATTCCCTGGGAATGGGCCACATGGAAGGAAGCAACAGAGAAATCCCTATTAATGTTACCCAGCTTTTAATTCTCTTTAAACCTGACATAACCTCTCTGTGTCATCTTGGGAGAGCCAACAAAATAGCTCTTAATGAGTCCTGGAGCTGATTTCTGTCGTTACTATTCTGAGACCTCTAGGCTTCCACTATATATTTGCTGCCCAACAGAGCTGTCCACAGGATTAGCAATAGATAGAGGAAATAAAAAAGATTCTATAAGCTCATTTCAGAGGGCTGGGTGATCCCAAACAGCATTTGAAATCTTGGCCACCTGCCTGCAAGACTTCATAACTCCATCTCTGCTCGGAATCAAACAATTCCCTGTGTGACAGGAAGCTTCCAAATATTTGTAGGCTTTTTAGCTGACTATCCTCTCTGATTGCAGCCGTGCCCTGCTTTATATGGGAACAATTAGTGTGTCTCTGAGGTCCCTCTCCCCAGGGTTTTGCTGTGTGTACTCCATGTATGGCAATAAGTAGGGGATGAGGAGACTACACCAGGGTGTATGTCTGAAAAACAGAGTCTAATAAGAGATAGCAGACAGGCATGGGCCAAATTTCCTAATAATGGCTTTTTTTTACCTCTCTGCTTCACACAGCTCCTGAATAATCCATGTGTGATAAGAGGGATGCTCACACCAATGTATAAAACATAAATAAAATAGTTTAGATGGTTATGAGAACGCTGCTCACATATAAAACCCACAATGACCTACTTTTTTCAGAGCTCCAATTTGTGGGTTTTTTTTTTCCTTAAGTACCCCCTCACTTTGTTTTCCCTTAGAGAATCTCCCTCCTAAAGCTAATTGTGCACGGGGCATGCTGGCAAATATTTAAACCTCCAAAATCCCCTGTATGAAAATCTGTGTGTTTAAAGGTATAAACACACAGGGACTCAAAATCATCAGTCGCTCTTGAAAAGTTAGGGCAGTATTTCTCACTTGAATCCTCCTCTCAGCTGTCTGAGATCCAGAGGGTGAGCCAGCATCTGTATTGTTTTCTCATAAAGATTCCCAGATTATTTTCCTTATAGGATGGCTGAAAATCTGGAAGGGTTTGCAACAGGGACTCTGTAAGCAGAAAACCTGATTTATTGTTTCTCCTTGCTTTGGGTCTTGCTGGAGAACAGGCTGCAGGATCTCTTGAGATACAGCTTCCACCCCTTACCTTTATAGGATACCTTAAATTAGCTCTTTTTAACTGTTTTCAGATTTTGTCCATCATGAGCAAAACCCTGAAGCTGCATCCCTCTTTCTGGAGACCTCAATCAAGCCAAAAAATCTCTCCCATTTCAGCCCAAGTGCAAATTCAATCCTTTGGGACCCAAAATGTTTTGCTCTACACTAGGCAATACCATGGCTCTTTATTTTTATTCTTTTAACAAGATTCAAATAATCTGTTTTGTAGCTCCTCAGTCTCCAGGCTCCTAGGGAAGGACTTGCATTTGCCAGCCACTTATCTCCACATCAGAGTCCCTTATCAGATTCCTGCTCTCAGTCCCCCTGTTTGAAACCATCACTTCAGCTCTCCCCTGGTACCTGCAGCTAAAGGGGAAGCTGACCACATCATCCAATTTCCAGACAGGCAATTCCACTAGTGGTTCACCCTCTCTTCTCTCAGCTTTAAGAGCTTTGATGGCCCTCCTATGAATATGTATTTCCTTCAGACATGCTCTGTGTGGCTCATCCACCCCTCTGACAATGTTCTGCCCAAACAGTGGACTCTGCACTCTTGCATTAGGGCTGGTCCAGCTAGAAAACAAAGCTTGGGCCTTTTGTTAAGCAGAATTTTCCACCTCTGGCAACAAGTGATGGATGGGAAAGTCCAACCTTTGTCCTGCTGACCAGAAGAATGTGTTTGTTTTGATGCCACCTTTCTTCAGCTTCTGCTTTTATCCCTTCAGGATCTCATGGCAAAAAAAAAATGCTTTTAAATAACAGCCTGGTGTTGATTTGTTTCCTTATCAAATCAGGTGGGAAATGGATGCAGGAATTTGTGTATATATGGACACAATGGGGGGGTGTTTATGTGAACAAGCAAAACTCCACACACACAGAGAATTAGTCACTCCTGCTGCCCTGAGTCATAGAATCATAGAATCCTTTAGGTTGGAAGGGACCTCCAAGATCATCAAGTCAAGTCCAACCACCGAGCCATCAGGGCTCCAAAGTCCTCTGCCAAAACAGATCAGAATCAGAGCCCTGGAGACATCTCCCTTTGCAGAGAGGCCAGTGCAGCAAAGCTGGGGTGGCCCTGGAGCCAGGTGGGGATCTCGTGGTGGCTCCTGGGGAAGGTTCGTGATCCTTGTGGTCCCTTGAACCCTGACAGATTCTGTTTTAGCAGAGGACTTAGTAGTGTTGGCTTGATGGTTGGACTGGATGATCTTAAAGGTCTCTTCCAACCCAAAGACCTCAGCCAAAATAGAATCATAGAATCCTTTAGGTTGGAAGGGACCTCCAAGATCATCAAGTCCAACCATTGAGCCATTAGGGCTCTAAAGTCCTCTGCTAAAACAGATCAGAATCTGTCAGGGTTGGAAGGGACCACAAGGATCCCCCAGTTCCAACCCCTCTGCCATGAGCAGGGACACCTCCCACTAGATCAGGCTGCCCAGAGCCTCCTCCAGCCTGGCCTTAAAGACCCCCAGGGATGGGGCCTCAACCACCTCCCTGGGCAACCCATTCCAGGGTCTCACCACTCTCATGGGGAAGAACTTCTTCCCTTCTCTTCCATTCTCCTTGTCTCCAGCTCCAGCCAGAAGCGAGCCCGCGGAGAGGACCCGCTCTTCTGGGTGAGCAGAAGGAGAGGAACCTCCATCCCTTGACCCTCCAGGGGAACCTTCCCCTGCCCCGTCCCGTGGGGTCGAGGTCCTACTCCGACTCCGACGCCGTCCGCCTGGAGGAACGCTCCTTGTCCAAGCTGAAGGAGAGCGACCGGTGCAGCGCCACGGAGAACCTCTTCCTGGAGTCCCTGTCCCTGGACTCCCCCGAGGAGCCCCGTGAGCAGCGGGAGAAGTTCTTCACCGGGCTGGCAGAAGTATGTGCTCCTCTGCTTCTCTTGAGACTTTGTCCTCTCTTACCTCAACGTCCCTCCTGTAGGAAGGGGGATGTTGGGTCACTAACAGTTCCCCGGTAGGAAATGTGGTGTGGACAAGATTAGATTCCTTCTTATGAGCTCATCAGACCAGTGTCAACCCCCTGAGAAACTTTGGTTAGATGTTAGGAAAAAGTTCTTCAGTAGGAGGGTGATAGACCACTGGAATAGGGTGCCCAGAGAGGTGGTGGAGGCCCAGCATTGGGGATATTCAAGATCAGGCTGGATGAAGCTCTGAGTAACTTGATCCAATTGGAGATGTCCCTGCTGATGGCAGGGGGGTTGGACTAGGTGATCTCTGGAGGTCCCTTCCAGCCCAGACCTTCTATGATTCTGTAAAAGTCCCAAAGATTACCTCACCTGGTGGCCATTCATGTTCTGTATGATACTTCTGTTTAGAATCATAGAATCCTTTAGGTTGGAAGGGACCTCCAAGATCATCAAGTCCAACCATTGAGCCATTAGGGCTCTAAAGTCCTCTGCTAAAACAGATCAGAATCTGTCAGGGCTGGAAGGGACCACAAGGATCCCCCAGTTCCAACCCCTCTGCCATGAGCAGGGACACCTCCCACTAGATCAGGCTGCCCAGAGCCTCCTCCAGCCTGGCCTTAAAGACCCCCAGGGACGGGGCCTCAACCACCTCCCTGGGCAACCCACAGCATAGTGGTTTAGAAGATGTTAAATCTCTTCCAGTTGTAAGTCAATACATAGATATGAGGAGACATGGACTCCATTTCATTAGTAAACCAGCAAGTGCTAGAGAGGCACTTCCTAGGATCATAGAGTGGTTTGGGTTGGAAGGGACATTTAAAGGTCATCTAGTCCTGCAGGAACTTCTGGATGGTCCATTGTGGTTGATTTCTAAGTGAAATGAGATATTAAAAAAGATGTTATTCTTCCTCAGCAAAGTACCCACCCTTAGATCCCACCACAAAGCTCTAGAGATGCAGAACACCAAGAGAAGCAGTTGGGCCACAGTGCATGTAGGCTGTGTCCTGCTAAAACCTGCACCACCATGGGCTTGTTTCCACCAGCTCCAGGTCTTCCCTTCATTTAGATGATCTCTAAAGGTCTCCTCCAACCAAAACTATGCTGTGATTGTGTTTCAACTTGTGCTGAATACTGGTTTGGGGAAGCAGAAGCTTCCCAGTCAAAGAGGTAGTATGCTGTGATTGTGTTTCAACTTGTGCCCTTGAGCACGTGAATACTGGTTTGGGGAAACAGAAGCTTCTGTGTACCCTGGCTTGAAAATTGGACCACCCTGGGAAAGAGCTTTTTCACAGCTCAGATCTCAAGCTCCCTGCAGGATGAGGTTCATGGGTGAGCCTTCACTCACTCATGGCTCACATGCCTGTGAAAATTTGACCCAAGAGTTTTTTTTGAGGTGTAAAACATTGTTACTCAACTGAAGGACTGGGGAAGAAAGTTCTTTGAGAGGAAGAAGAGGAAAAAAAGATTGAGAGGTGAGAAATGTGACCACCCTCCTGACATTTTAAGCCCCTGCAGGTACCTCTGTGTTCCAGTTAAATGTTCCCAAGTGCCATAAATGTGCAGCTGGCAGTGGGGGAGCCCAGATTTCTTATTTTTTAGCTTTTATTTCACACAGAGCCAAGTGCTCAGTGAAGAACGTTGGCACCAGTGTCCAGGTTCTATGTTGGGTGTTTAATTTGATTTTCTTTCCTTCAAATTCAGACTGATATTTAAGAAAGGAGAGCTCCCTTCCCTTTTCTTTTTTTCAGATACCAGCAAAATTTGGTCCTTGGTGATATCTGCCTAGCTTCTTGCCTTCACAGCATGCTTTAGTCAAAGTCATGGCCCTGCAGAGGGTTTGCTCAAGCAAGACTGATGGGAGCTTCCTGAAGAGCTGAACTGAGGGTGCAGAGAGGCAGCTGCAGCCTGCTGCTCCTCCTCTCCACTCGTTGCCTTTGTGATACAACTGGAAGTCAATCATAGAATCATTTAGGTTGAAAAAGATCTGTAAGATCAAGTCCAACCATCCCCCAGCACTGCCAGGTCCCCACTGCCCCGTGTCCCTCACACCACATCTCCACAGCTTGGAAACCCCTCCAGGGGTGGGGACTCCACCACTGCCCTGGGCAGCCTGGCACAGCTCTGGACACTCTTTTGGTCAAGAAATTGTTCCTAGCACCCAACTTAAACCTCCTCTGGTGCATCTTGGGGCCATTTCCTCTTGTCCTGTCCCTTGTTCCTTGGGAGCAGAGCCCGACCCCCCCCTGGCTCCAGGCTCCTGTCAGGAGCTGTGCAGAGCCAGAAGGTCTCCCCTGAGCCTCCTTTGCTCCAGGCTCAGCACCCCCAGCTCCCTCATACACCCATCACAACCTTCATCATTGCTCTTCTTTGGACAACCCTTGAGCACCTCCAAAGAAGGGCAAAGAACCTGGTGAAGGGTCTAGAATCCAGCCTTCAGCCTCATTCTCCATTCAGTTAGATCAGATTTACTCTACACTAACTCCTCTGAAGCCACTTACACTGCTCCAGGCTTACACCAGAGTGAATTCAAGGAGGATCTGTTTATTCCTATTTTTCCCCCAACTCTGGATCAATACCAGACAGGTACTCACTGAGTTAAGTGGTGCTCTCTTTGAGTAGCCCCAATTTGAAATACAATTCTGTGTTGGCAATGTTCTTGATGTCATGAGGTTGAATAAAATAGTCCTTTTTTTTTCCCTCAGCACATTTTGTATTCCCTGCAGTTTATCAGAAATAGAAACAAACAGTTTAACTAAGAACTGTAGAGCAATTGCTTCAGAATATCTGTTAAAAACCCCCAAACTCATTAAGGAAGTTGTCTCAGGGAAATAATTGCCATAAAAACCTCTTAATGCCCTTACAGGCTGTAGGTAATTCCTGTTATCCAACAAGGAATGGTCTTCCCACACATTTAATAGAGCTTCTTTAATGAGGCTTCAACTGGTGCCCTTGGTTGGTTCCTGGAGAACATAGAATGAAATTTTACCTCAAAGAACCTTGATTTCTCTCTCATTTCAGCACAGCTAGGTCTGGCAGAAAGCAGATTACCTCCATGGAACAGATTCTCTCACAGATATAGAGACCAAACCAAGATGGAAGAAAAAGCCACGTGCAGCTTACTTCCATTTGTGATTGCATGGGGCTATGGAAGTTCTAGATCTGGCAAAGAGACCTTCCCTCAGCAGTTGTTGTCCTGGTGGGATGGCCCATTCTGCTGCTGATGTGCCAAGGGAAGAATATTCCCACTGGCAACTTAAGATTCCTCACCAGAGGGAAAATCAGACACTTGTTAGAGGTGACCATACCTGGTGCAGATAATGAATGCCAAAGTGCCCCCAATTTAATGCCACCAAGAGGTTCAGGGAGAACTTAACCTGCTTGTTTCTGTTTTTCTTCAGGAGGAAGAAACACACAAAGGAAATCTTCAAAGGTGAGTAAAACCCAACCAATATTCAGCTGCTGGAGCTCTCTGGTGCCCAAACCACAGACCTGGGGCATAGCCCTGCCACCTCCTAGGCACCCTGAGGGCCAGATTAATGGATTTACCCAGGGATTAATTTGTCTCAATATGCTTCTGTTCCACTGATACAATTATTTTGGTTGGAAGAGACCTTTAAGATCATCAAGTCCAACCATTAACCCAGGACTACCAGGTCCCCACTGCCCCGTGTCCCTCACCCCACATCTCCACAGCTTGGAAACCCCTCCAGGGGTGGGGACTCCACCACTGCCCTGGGCAGCCTGGCACAGCCCTGGGCAACCCTCAAGGGGAAGGAATTCTTCCTGATGTCCAACCTAAACCTCCCCTGGTGCAACTTGAGGCTGTTTCCCATTGTCTTATCACTTGTTGCTTGGGAGAAGAGACCAACCCCCACCTCACTACAGCCTCCTTTCAGTAATGAGATCTTTCCTGATAACACCATTCATTTATATTTGTAAGTAGTCCCATTTTGAAATGCATCTTACTGCTCCCTATTTCAGGCATTTCCCAAGCAGGAACCCATGAGAGAGCAGTGAAGGAAGGACCATGAATAAACCACTTGGTGCTTTTAATGACACATCAGGAACGTTTGTGTTCCACAGCTATTTTAAAGCTAGCAAAAGGGAACTTGAATCATAGAATCCTTTAGGTTGGAAGGGACCTCCAAGATCATCAAGTCCAACCATTGAGCCATTAGGGCTCCAAAGTCCTCTGCTAAAACAGATCAGAATCTGTCAGGGCTGGAAGGGACCACAAGGATCCCCCAGTTCCAACCCCTCTGCCATGAGCAGGGACACCTCCCACTAGATCAGGCTGCCCAGAGCCTCCTCCAGCCTGGCCTTAAAGACCCCCAGGGATGGGGCCTCAACCCCCTCCCTGGGCAACCCATGCCAGGGTCTCACCACTCTCCTGGGGAAGAACTTCTTCCTCATGTCCAGCCTGAATGAAAGAGAGGGATAAAGTATTTTTATATATAAGCAGATAGTGAAAGTTGGGCCTCCTGAGTGACTGTCTGTTCCCCTCCTCTCCAGGGCGATGTCCGTTTCTTCCATGTCAGAATTCCAGCGCCTGATGGATATTTCTCCATTTCTACCAGAGAAAAACTTGCCTTTGTCCAGCAGCAAAGATGACATAACCCCTCCCCTGTCTCCTGATGATCTGAAATACATCGAAGAGTTCAACAAAAACTGGGATTACAGTAACCCCAGGAACCACGGCGGGGCCACCGAGAAGCCTGCGGAAGGCTGGGCAGAAAGGACAGAGATAGGGAAAGCTGGGAACGAGCCTCCTCCAGACCCTTTCCAGGCATCATCGTGGTACCTCACCACCAGTGTCACCATGACCACGAACACCATGACCAGCCCGGAGCACTGCCAGAAGCAGCCAATGAGGAATCATGGTGGCCCTGAGAAGATGGGAGTCCGGGTCTTCCACAGCCCGCCGGTCGTCCGCAGGTTTGATAACTCGGTGATGGCTGGTGGTGAAGGGAAGAGCCAGGTGGAGCCAGACTTCCTCTTTTCCATGACCAAAGCCATGGGGAACGTGGCCGAGACAAAAGGCGCCTCCTCGGATAGGTTTGGGAGGTGGTCTTGTGACCTGGCCAAACACCACAAGGATTTTCTAGAGAGCGGCCTTCACCCCATCGAGCGTCCCCTTTGCACGACCGTGGGCTTCGCCTCGCCCTTGCACAGCCTGGAGATGTCCAAAAACATGAGTGATGACATGAAGGAGGTGGCCTTCTCCGTGCGCAACGCCATCCGCTCCAACTCGGGCTCGGCGGAGCCCCAGTTCAAGGACACGGCCTGTCAGACCAACGGGGTGAGGACAACAGGGACTCAAACCACCCAGACCATCAGCGTGGGCCTGCAGACCGACACCCTGCGCAACATCACCAGCAGCCCCCACAAGTGTCTGACCCCCAAGGGGGGCTCCACGCCCGTCTCCTCCCCATCCAGGAGCCTCAGGAGCAGGCAGGTGACCCCCGTCATCGAGAAGGTCCAGGCGAAGTTCGAACGCACGTGCTGCTCCCCCAAATATGGTTCTCCAAAGCTCCAGAGGAAGCCCCTTCCCAAACCAGAGCAGCCCAGTAACCGGGCCGGGCCCGGCACGCCTCAGAAGGGCTTCAGTGAGTCTGCCTGGGCTAGATCCACCACCACCAGGGAGAGCCCCGTCCACACCACCATCAACGACGGCCTCTCCAGCTTGTTCAACATCATCGACCACAGCCCCATCTTTCACGAGACCTTCCAAAAATGCCCCAGGTCCAGGTCAGCAGAGCCCAGGGCGGAGCCGGGCCCGGTGCAGGAGCCCTGTCCCAACGCCCGCGGCAGGTCGCCCAGTCCCCTCCGACTGGGCCCAGAGACCCAAAAGGAAGAAGGGACTGAGGTGACGAGCATCAGGCAGGACTTATCTGCTCCTCCAGGGTACACGCTCACCGAAAACGCTGCCAGGATCTTGAATAAGAAACTTTTGGAGCATGCCTTAAAGGAAGAGAGGCGGCTACCTTCACACAGCCCACCCAACCTTAGCCATGACAACAGCACAGGAGAAATTGTCAAAGTAGATCCAGGGTCCATAGAGGTAATGAGTTTGTTTGTTTTCCCCCCCGTAGCTAAATGCACCCTTCTTTGAACACAGGAGTCACGAGCTCTCCTGCAGTCCTAGGGGGTACTAAGAGTGATGTAGTCCTGGCATGGAACCACCAGCAAGTCCCAGTCATGAAACTCTTGGATTAGGCACTGGAGGACTCATGAAAGGATTGAGGGTCTATCCTGACAGCTTACAGGGGCTTGAAAGCATCAGAAGAGCTTTATCCTTTACAGGATAAAGGTGCCTTTGGAGGGTAAAAATAGTTCTCCCCTGAACACCTGGGGTAAGGGATTTCTGTCACACAACACACCACGTCTCACAGATGGGTTGGGGACTCCAGGTTGGAGTAAATCTCTTGTGCTGGATGGAAAGGTAGATGTTTCTCCTACACAAGGATGGGTGTTCACGAGTCTGGGTGAAAAGCAGTCTCTGCAATACCCTGAAGCAAAACTTCAGGGCCTTCAGCACATCTTTTCTGGGTGTCTCTGGTGAAGTTTGGCCCAGGTCTGTGTGATTCAAAGGCAGGACTGCTGCTGAATCACAGAAGGAAAAAAAGGGGGGAAAAAAAAGATGTTCAACTAGTCTAAGCACATCCCTACCTAGTGTTTCAGAACTCTTCACTGTATTTCACTCCTAACAGTCATCATCTGTCTCAGCAGAGATGCTCACTCAGGTATCAGGGGTCAGACTCCCAGGTACAGTGATGCCCAAGAGCAATCAACACAAAAGAGGGTGTCTTCTGCTGACCACTTGCCCAATACAGAATGAGACCATCATTAACAGACAGCCCAGCAGCCAAAATCCTCCCCCCACTCCCACCTCACCCCCCAGAGACCCAAAGGGCCAGAGCCCAGAGGAGGAACAAGTCCCTGCACTCCCCCACCACAGGGGACATGGAGAAGGGAGCAGCCAGGGGAGGAGCCAAGCCAGGGGAGAGGGGAGCAGCCAGGCGAGGC